GAGAGAGAGAGAGAGAGAGAGAGAGAGAGAGAGAGAGAGAGAGAGAGAGAGAGAGAGAGAGAGAGAGAGAGAGAGATGAATAAATCCATCCCATCGGCTTGCTAAGTTCAAGCTCTTTGTCGCTCTTCGGGTTGCTGAGTTGAAGCTCTTCATTGCTCATCAGAGAGCCCTATAACCGTTGTCAGCGTCACTCTGCTACACGATGAAGAATGGCAAGAACTATACTTCTCAGCACAAGGATCATATGTGTGTCCCCATTAACCTTCCGCTAACAGCAGAGAAGGAAGACCGCGAATGCAAAAGATATATGGAGGCACCATGATGCACAGTTCACTGCAAAACCTCCTCATATGCTGTTGCTGCTTGAACTCTCAGCCCTTCCAACATATCATATGCAATGGATCAACTATTGCAGGTCTTTCAAGTCACAGCCGCAGCACTCCTAAGCCGCAGGTCGATTGCATCTGTTCATCTCATTTCACCAAATCCAAAACATGGAATGGCGATATGCAGGAACCAAAGGACACACGCTCTCTGTGCGATCCAACTTATCTGTGAAGAGAGCCGCCATACTCCCACTACCATGCATGCAGAAATGGTGCCCATATACAATATCTGATGACAATTTGCACCGTCCACTTGAGCAGTAGCACCTGTCCTCATACCATTTAACTTTCCGCACTCCTCCATGCTTGTGCTACCACTACTCCCACAACTGGACTATTGCCCGATCAGGGTGTCAGAACAATCACATATGAAAACCCTCTCGAAAGGGACTTCCTTCGTGCTACCTTGTGACCGAGAGAGAGAGAGAGAGAGAGAGGCGCCCCCGAGTCCAACGGCAATCAAATAACAGAAAGCCCCGATCCCAACATGGCCTCCTCCCTTTCCTCATCCACCTTACCCAAAAGCCCATTCCGCAAGGCACGGAATCTTAAAGTGCAGCAAGACATGCTGGACACTAAGAAGTGGGCACCCCATAGATGCCTTGTCGAGTGGCATTCATCGGTGCGGCACTCATGCATTCTCCCTCTCCTGTTGCTTATTCTCAATCCTTCAGGTTGACCGGGTCACTAAGAACATAATTTGGCAAATCATACTTGGCACCTGCAAACCAAACCACAGCAACTCAACGATGCATCAGACGAGAGAAAGCTAGTAATGCAACTGCAAGGTCAGTAGCAGAAAGCCAATTGCCGCTTTGGTAAACAAGAACTGCAACCACACATGCAAGCGACAAGCAGCATGACAGGACCTAACAAGGACACAGAAACATCGCCTACATGGTTGTAAGGAACATGCTTTAATCTTCCTGTACGATCTTCTCGTATGATCTCGTATGATCTTCTCCAAGACAATCTTTTAGATTCCAGCTGTTGTCTTGAATTTCAACTCTGTGAGAGCATTAGAATCCATACTTTAACAAAACATTATATGCAGCACTCAGGGATTTCTTGACCCATGAAAGGTCTATCTGCTCTGATTCACGCACCCTGGCTTCCAGTGTCAAATCTTCATGAGCATCAAGTGTACAGCTGACAACTCTGTTCACTCTCCTTCTTTTTTTTTTCTTTTTTCTTTTTTTAAAGCAGGGCCTTATGGTCCTGGCTCCTTCTATTCTGGGGAGCGTCAGTCCAGTTCCTATTCCACCGGCAAGTCAAAATGCACATTACATTGAAACTTAACCACGCTTCCTTCCGTTTGGCCGAAGGACCCCTGAACAGCATTGATTGCTCCACCTTGGTGGAGGATTGACTGTCAGCTTGCCGTGCCCCTCTCTTTCCTCTCAGATCTGGAGTACAGATCTGCCAGATAGTGCTATGCCCCCTAGAAAGAGTTCATCCTTTGTCCCTGTCGGCCTGTGTCCTCCCCACTCTTCTGCCCTGCCCGTGGTGCGTGATATCCCCTTTCCCATTTTATTTGTCCCCCCCTTTTTTTAAAACATGCTTTAAACCCTAACCCCTAAAAACCCTCAACCTGCGAACCCGTATTCCAGCAACCCTTTGAGTCCGTCCTTTCCCCTTGCTCTTGTCCTTTGGTGCCGTCCGTCCAACTCTGTGCTATCAATCCATGGCTGTAGCAGTTTAAGCTTGTCTATTTTGTCTGCTCCCCAACCTTAAACCCTCCTCCCTCGGCCTGTGTATCCATTCTCTAACGTTCCCTTGAGTCAACCCTGTTCCAATGTCTCCTGTTTCCCATGTCCGTGTCTTGAACCAGGACTGCTTGCTCGTTGTTGGAATCCTTGCTTGTTTCTGATTAGTGCAAATCCTTCCTAGGTCACTCGGACTTGTCCAACTCTTTCTCCTTGCCGTTTAGTGACCCTTCCGTAACAGGTCTCTTCTTGCTGTGTCGTCTCTGCTTCCTCAGCCCGTAATTCTGCACTGAGTTCTTGCTCCTGTATTGTTCCTCCCCTTCCACTTTCCTGAGTCTATTCTGGGCTGCTGTCCTGTCCTCCTCCTCAATGCATCCTTTTCGCCCTCTCAGTTCCCCCTTTGTTCCCATTCCCTGGGCCCCTGTCGAACTACCCCCTTTCGTTGGAGTTCAAGCCGTAATTCAACCCACCGACGTTGCCCATTTCTGATAGCCCTTTTCTGGCACTGAATTCTGTCCAGTCTTGGTTGGTCTTCCGCCCCCTACAAAGGATCTCGTCTTGTGTCATCGTTCTGGTTTCTGCCCACACCTTCTCCCGTGGGTTGGCCCATCCTTCAATTGTTCTGCTGCATCACTCATTCCGTATGACCCGCAGGGTCTCTTTCCTAATGAGTTCAAGCCAGATCCTTTCTGCCTTTCGCGCCTGCTCAGGGATGTTAGTCAAGAGGGGAAGTTGAATGGGTTGCTCCGGGAAGGAAGTTGAGAAGGGTGAATCGCATCGTGAGGAAACTCTCGCCCAGTATTCTGTCGTCTCTTTGCAGTGGACTAAGCAGTGCAGTCTATCCTCTACCACACCTTCGGTGCAGACTGTGTATGTTTCCGAAATGTCGGGATCTGTTTATTTTTTTTATTTTTTTTTTATTTTTTTTTTGGTCGAGTCCTCTAGAGTAGAGAAGCAGTGGATGGCCGAGCATTAACTAAGGCCCCTCTGATTGTTAGTCCCAGTTTGTGAAGAGACGGGTGCCTCCCTCGATCTTTGCGATTCTGTTCTCCAAAAGCCATGTTTTTTTGAACTTTCTCAGACTCGATTCTCTTTTGTCTGGTGTTGTTAACTTTTGTAGTTCTTTTTGCTCTTGGGACCAGCGTGCTCTTACTTCCGTTTGTACTATGCTTTTTATTTCTGCCCATTTCTCCTCTAGTGAAACAGTTTTCACCTTTGGCAGTAGCCGATGCAGATCCCAGGGGTCGATCCCCTGACCTCAGCTTACCTGTGTACAGTATCTGCACAGTTCCCTGGAGTTGAACCCGTGACCTGCACGATAGCCAGTGGTAAGTAGGTCGCCGTAGGT